AATACCAGGGGAATACCCGTGAACTACCGTAACGAAGTGCGCATAGAGTGCGCTCAATCTTTTTATCCTATCCTCACCCCCTTACTTCCCCTTACATGCACTAATACACTGCCACACATGTCGCGAACTTACAGCTTATTCCGGCTGGAGAGGTGTCCCGCTGGTCGGAAATACCTGGTTCAAGATTACCCGGATCTCGCCATCCAGAGGAGGAAGATCCCCCCTCCCCCGACAAAAACAGTCGGTCAATATACGAAAATGATAGCAATGTAAATTTGTTATCCAGACGTAAGCAAAGCGAAACGTTTTTCTATCTCTTCCAAATACCTCCTCATGTAAACCCATATACAAGAAAGTAAAGAAAAAATATGTAACCTTATTATACGTAATATTTTTATTACGAGGAACAGTAACCACCTTAACGAAAGTAAACTGGTACATATACGTAATACAATTGCCAATTTTCTATAGAAGTTGCAACTTTGAAACTCAAGGGAAGTATAATAAGTTACAGGGGAAATGAAAAAAGTTATCAACTTCGTAACATACTTAATTGTTCATGCCAAAGAAAAATTTTGCCAATATTCACTTCACGTTTGACAATTCGTTGCCATCAAAATAATCTTTAATATTTTTAAGAAAAATCTTGGGGAAACAGTTAAAAGGCTTACATTTATTTCTGTTGTTACATTTTTCACTAAACATTTTGCGCAGTTGCTAATTTCTCGTTGTTAGAAATGCGTGCTGCGCTTGCCTCGGAACAGTCCTCTTCGCGGCGCGGCGCCGCACGTGGCCCACTGCGCGTGTCGGCGCGAGATCGCAATCCGTGGGCGAGGTGCGCTGAATGAGAGCGCGCCCATTGACGCGATATCGCCTGCCCGACGCGCCGCCGCGATCGCCGCTGCCTCGGTAGATGGCGGGCGACGTCGTTGCCTGCTCCCTGTGTGGGTTTCGTGTTCGGTGACGTGAAGCAGGTCTCTTGTGATAAACGTGTCTCGAGGCACACGCGAGATTAACGGATTTTACAGTGAGGTAAAACGACGAACGGCACAATATTTGTAATGTTCAAAATCAAAATAAGTACGTTGGTTTTGTTTGGAAAATATTGAACTCTGAACTGCTGAACATGAACATACTCGTAGAATAATATAGTACAATTCCATATTGATTTTTACGTGTTTAAAGAGGGTGTACTTGGTTCTTTGCATCGATCAAAAAGGCAAAGTTCTACGCGAGTTGCTTGTTGCTTACCACACGAACTACCCCACGTTTTTTTCGTGAAGCAAGTTGGAATAGCCTGATTGGGAGATGCGTTCTCTTTTGTGACCTCAACCTGATGAGCTTTCTGCCAATTGAATAGAAACCCCACTGTGTCTATCGCCAATGGCAACTCGAATCCTGTTCTCTACTAGATGCCAGGCGATCCAGGTTATGTTCTGGGTGTCAGCATAAAATCTGATATCGCATCAAGACATTCAGACATACCTCCTGGAAAGCGCGAACATCAAATGATTATGCCAAATCTACTGCGTGCTTCTGCGAATGCTGAGAAACTTGAAGAAAAATTAGAAGTCAACTACATTACAAATATAAATTATTTCACATGCATGTTTATTATAAATCAGAAAATATGAAATGTCCATTATACTATCGAACTTAGAAGTTATCTAATTGTTTGAACTATTCTATTAGTCTTTGAGCTGAATTTGCAAATTCGCCTTTTTTCCTACTAATTCTCCCAAAGAGGAATAGCGCGATTGTTCGCGATCGTGGATACAAGGAAGAGCTCGCCCAAGTACCAATGCGTCCAATGTAGCCCTATCGCTTTCATATTTGAAGAAAATGAACGAGTCAAAGAACAAATGTACCTTTTAACGTTGTTCATTTTGTATTATTGGTTTGTAATGATCAGAGAGAGTAATAAAAACTTATTATTTTGGAATTCAAGTGTATCGACGATTCTTAATTTATTGAAACATATTTCCATGTATTCATGAGCTGCTCCAATGAGAAAAAAGGGTGCCATGGTCTTACCTTAAAAAACGTAGAGTTCAAATAAGTACATTTTAGTTAGATTACATACACAGTTGCAGAGATTCTGCCGCAGAGATTCTGCTCCCAGACAGAACAGTTCGGCTGCGAGCCGTCCATTTTGTTGATTGATTGGTGATTTCAGGAGGGCCAACTGTTAGGGTTATTTGTCCCGAAAGGGTAAGGTGTGTTTTCCTCGGGAAATGGTGGTAATGATGCCCCCCTGGATGTCAAGCGGGGTTTTCATCAACCAGGTATCTCCCACCGGCGGGGCACCGCACCAGGTGGAACGAGCTCTAAACTCCCGACCGGTCTGCCGTCACGTGTTGTAGTGTAGAGTATGTAAGTTGAAGTAAGAGGTAGATAGGATAAGGAAGGTGAAGGAAAGATCACGCATGGCCCGTGGCCCGTTTGTCAGGGCACTGCTCCTGGATTCGCCTGATATTGATAGGACAAAACACAAACACTACCAATTAGAGCTAGAATTCTCCTCAAGACAGCGTCTGAATTCGACCAAGCTATTTAGCTATTGCCGATCCGGTGGCCGAGATGGCTAAGGCTATAGTGCCGTAGCGATCTCGTACCGAAAGATCGCGGGTTCGAGTCCTATCCCGCCTCGGGTATAGTTGTATTGTGTTCGTCATTTCACCCCCTATCATCATCA